TGCTTCTCAGAGGTTGAGGGAGGGCTGAAGACACCACACATTTAGGAAACAGGACTTGGATGATTTGAAACATATCTGAGAGCCTCTTTCCTGTGATCTAGCTTCAATGGTATCAGAAAACATTTTGCATGCTGCCAAGGAAGAGAAGCAGTTAATAGACCTATCAGCCATGGAACCTATGCCGCACAACCATGACCAGAATGATAAGAAATTCATAAAGGTCCAGTAAGTGATATTCATATCTTAGTGGCAATCAACAGGTGTCTAATTGAACTTAAGGCTAACTCAGCAAGAGGGAAATCATGTGTATAGTCTAAATGAACCCCAAAGGTTCATGTGGCAAAGCCTTATTGTTTTCCTTCTTACGGGAATACACTATTGGTAGGTAGTACACCCTTTAGGAAATGGGGCTTAGTGGAAGATTCTTGCGTCTTGGGAATAAACCCTTATAGGGGTTTTAGGATACCAGGATCTTCTCTCCATTTGCTTCTTGTCTGATGAGATGAACACATTGATCCAACAAAGGCTGCCTGCCATTGCCATCCAGCACTTGCTCCAGAGGCCCAAAGCAATGAATTTGCCTCATCATGGAGTTGACCTTCAAACTTCTGAGCTGAAATTACCCTTTACTCTTCATTTTTGTTGTCCGGGTATTTCATTATGGTGACACAACACTTTGATGCTTTCTCCTCCAAAAGCATCTTGTTGATTGAAATGAAAAAAAATCTCTTCTTTGCAGCAGACACAGTTTGGTATAACAAAGTCTATACAAAGTTTTTACAGGTACAATACAGGCTCGAAAGTTTCAAACAGTTTAGTTTATGGATTAGCTTCTAAAATACATTTCCAAAACATGTAAGTTTTCTAAGGAATTTTTATTTTTATTCATTTGTATGTGTGTATGTGTATGCTCACGTGTGAGTGTGTGTGTACAGGTGCCCTCAGAGACCAGAGGAGGATACTGAATTTCCTGGAGCTGGATTTATAGATCAGGGAATTAAACTCAAGTCTTCTGGAGAAGCAGCATATGGTATTAACCACTGAGCAATCTCTGTGACTCCTCAATTTTATTTTTGAAAAAGAGGACAAATTAAAGAAGCAATCAAAATTAGCCTTGATTAAAAATCACTATTCTTCAAATTATCACTGACTTTATACATAATATCACAATGGCTTCTTATTTATTTTACATTATAACATTTAATTTTTACTTTATTTTATTTTGACTGTGCATATCTGTGTGCATGCATGTGTGCAGAGGATCTGTGGAAGCCAAAGGTACTGGATCAGTCTGGAGCTGGATTAACAGATGGTTGCGAACTGAATGCTGGGAACTGAACTGAGATCCTTCGCAAGAACAGTATGCATTCCTAACTGCTGAAGCATCGCTCCAGTCCCATAACTTGTGTAAAATGTTTCATTAGATACAATGAAACTGCATCACATCTTAGGCAGAATGAGATCTATCTCTTAAGTGATCTTCATTGATTTTTTATTTCAACATCATGCAACAAATCCAAATAAGAGGAGGGATTGTCCCCTGTGGGTAGAAAACCAGGGAGTTTGGAAATCCTAAGCATTTCTACAACACATATTACAGAACCAAGACTGAAATCTGAAACTATTTGGTGATCAAAATGTTTATTTTTTCTACCACTTCAATTGTCCTTATTTTAACTAATGTGTACTTCTATAAGCTTTGTTTATGGCCATAACAGGAATTCAATTTAGACAAAGTGGAAAGTACATGGAAGGAGGAAAGGGAAGATAAATAGCCAGCCACACCACAAACCAATGTCAAACATATGTAACTTTCTAAAAGAAATTTGGATGTATTTTATTTTTTATGTGTATGAATGTTTTGCTCACCTGTATGCCCTGGTGCATACTTGTTCCCACAGGAGGTCAGAAAAGCTAAATCACATCCCATTACAGACTGTTGTGAGCCAACATGTGGATGCTGGGAATTAAACCTGGGTCTGCTGCAAGAGCAACACATACTTTAAAACACTGAATCATTTCTTTAGTCCCAAATACAGTTAACCTTTTAAGGTTTCCTTCTGACATTACAAAATAAAGCTCAGCTTCACTGTATGGTGACAATTCAGAAAAACTTGGTTTTCAATTCTGTAGTTTTAGACATATTGCATAGTTCCTACGTTTTACCAGGGAAGGAAAGGAATGCTTAATCACCATTGCAAAATATTATTGGCAGCATCTAGCAAAATAATTGTTTGTCACAATTGACCTTCATAAAATATAAAAACTCACTTTAATGAACAAGTAAAATTTACATGAAACATATCTCTCATATACAAATACAGAAATTAATATCAAATTGAGATACTTCCATTCAGCATCATAGGAACTTTAGCAAAACCCTTAAGTCTAAACAACTTGGTGATATATGGAAACCAATGTAAGTACTATCCAATATTTTCTTTAATCAAATAAATATACCTAAATACAAACTAATCCTTGCCCTCTTGGTGAGAAAAATCTATTTCAGGAATTGAGATAATAAATAATTTGGCAGAATTGTTTGAATAGAGGGTCATTGTTAAAGGTTCAGAGATGAATGTCCTAATGGCTGAAAAAATTGACTTTTTACTAGCAAAAGTATAAATTCAGGGTTTAGGATACTGAGTTAAAGCACGATGAGAAATCCAAGGTTGAGCATTTCATTCATGACGATTTTTGCCTGTATAAATTCCAGGTGTGTGCAGTAGTGTTCTTATTAACATAGGCAGCAACACTTCACTAACTCCACCTTTAAAGTTCTCAGCCTTAACTGGCTGCCTCAGTCTAAAATCCTCCTGCTGTTTTACTTTCTCACATCAAAAACTGTGTCCTGATGGAGTGGAATGCCTCTTCCTGTGCTGGACCCAGCAGTATAGGAGGATGCCACCAAATCTCAGTGTTGAGGAGCATATTCACTAAAGTAGATTAAAATTTTCTCTCTCTATGACAGCAGTAAATAGAAAGTTGCCCAAGATTTCACTCAGATAAGCAAGAGTAAGACTTTTATCAATATTATTCTCCTAGTTATCAATACTGACTACATCTTTACCTGTCATCAAATTTAGCACTGGCTCATTGGCCTGCTGAGAATACTCATAGTCTAACATTGACAGTTGAGTTCTGCTGAACATACACTTTCCTAGACAACATCAACATCAGTCATTCTGAGGTTTCCTTTTTTATTTTTTGTGTGAGGCTATTGGATCCTCTGAAACTAGAGGTACAGAAAGTTGTGAGCTGCCATGTGGGTGTTGAGAATTGAACCTTGTATCAGTCGTTCTGTAACCACCATGAAA